TAGTATATGAAGATGAATTAGCTGATGTTCGAAAAATAATTGCATACATGGCTGACTCAACTAATGAGAGATCTCTTAGATTACATTGTGCTGCCAAATTTTCTCATGCTGATGTATTAAAACCTTGTGCATGGAAACTTAATCGATGGATTGATATTATATTTATGGAAAAAGCTTAGGTGATAGTACAACTTCCGAATAAAACAACTATGATGGCTGACATTATTGAAACTATAAAAGAAAAAGTTATTGCAGTCAAACGACGATTTTTCTTTTATTTGGTCCGTATCGATCCATAGAGATGTATGTTTCTTATTATTAGTTTAAAGCAAAATCTATTCACATTTTCAAAAACGATGAGTGTTGTCGTTTTCTGAATAGCTTTTCATAGAAGATCGATAACGAGCTATACTTTTCAACATTCTTAGAAGGAATATTATTGGGTATAAACCTATGGTAAATTTAAAATTTAACATACAATGGGGTTTTACTGAAGATTTTAATAACGATTCTTCTAGAAAACTTATGAACTGTGCTTGATCGTACTTGTTATTATTTTTCTAGAGAAATCTAAACTATATAGCTTCACGCAACATTGAAGTTTTTAGAATTAACCTTGAGTCATCTCATTCAAGATCAGTTGGTGGAAATTCTAAGGCTCTGAAGAAGCTTTATGATTCCGGAATGATATAATTTAAAAATTTCTGTGTTGTATAGATCTATAGAGTTTGACTTTTTCTTGAAAAATAAGAAAGAGTACGTCTCAACACTATTTTAAAATTCTCTAGAAAATCATTATCAAAGTCTTTAACAAAAATCAATCTCATTAGCTGACTTCAAATTCAACATAGTTTTTTTTTACTGTCCGAACGTTTCTTCTAACAACTATCAAAAACTACAGCTTGTTACTTACTTGCGATGAAAGTCTATTGAAAAACCATGAACATCCACTATCTTTTTTGAAATTGGCTAAAGTTCACGAACATCGTTATTACACATGTCTTTTGCGTCGAGTAATAAATGTTTCGAATAAGAATCAAAAGAGATATTTGATCTAAAATAAAATAAAAGCGCAAATAAATATCAAATAATGTACAAAAATAATATTTGACGTCAACAGCTAGAAATATTTTAACATGAAAAATAGAGAACGAACAAAAAAAAACTTTTGATTAATGAGAAATTTTTTTGGGCGTCTCTTATAAAAAAATCTATTTCTCTGTTTTCAACATATATTTGTGATTTTCATAACTTCTATATTGATAGAAATGATAATAATATTTTCATCTTAGTTAACAGAAAAATTGAATTAAGCGACAGTATTAACAAAACCACTGTATATCGGTGCTATCTTGATGAAAGTGCCGATATGAGTGTTTAATCTTGCATGATTCAATGATTTATATTATCTATGAGAAATAAAAGCTAATGAAAATATATAAACGATATAGAGTTTCTTTAATTTATCTTATTGAAAAATTGTACTGAAATGTTGACAATCTATTTCATAAGAAATATTTGACGTAGTTCTTTTCTTATCGATGTTACTTTTGTTCTCTCTGTTGACTTAAAACACATTACAATAAGTTGTAAGTATGTGAATGCATATGTGAAATTTTCAATGAAGAACGCAACACCCACACCTTAAACATGCTTCGATTTGACTCAAGTTTATATTAGTAATAACGGATTCAATATTATTAAGGTTTCAGAGTTTGAAGATATGAGTTTGTTTGACATAGTGATTCATTATTAAAAAAACAGTATATCCTATTGCTCGAAGATGCAAGTATGGATTCATTTAATATTTTCAACAAACTTTCATTTTATGATGAATATATATGTGGAGAGTGTCAGCTCAATGTTTTAGTTAGTAAAAATTGAAAGGATGAATTTGTATACTTTTCACTATTGAACATATAGCATTAATATACTATAAACTCAATTTTTGAAAGATATTAATATCTTGCATGTGTATTTTCGAAATTCAAATAAAATCTTTTCCTTGTGTTCATTTGTGTAGAATCGTTGATGGTCAAAATTGACAAAGAGAAGTAATTGTCTACTAATGTAGTTAGAAAAATGATGATATATATAAAATGAAAGAATGTCTAGAGAAAAACATATGTTCCCTATGTTTGCGTATTCGGTGCATTTATTGTAATTACATATATTTATATTGAACATTTTTTTAAATAACTATCGCTTTTGCTAATCCAATAATTCTAAAACGTACACAAATTTATTCTTCTCCAATTTTTATTAACTAAAACACTGACAAATGATTTATCATCTCTACATGTATGCTCACTATGAAATGAATATTTTATGTCTTTGAGCAGGAGCACATGCTGTTTTTCAATAATCAATCACTATGTCAAACAGATTCATATCTTCGATAATAAATAATAATCTATCTTCAAACTCTGAAACCTTAATAAGTACTGAATGCTTTACTATTAATATAAATTTGAATTAGATCGAAGTGTGTTTAATCAAGATATTGAATATATTAGTACAGTACACCAGCAAAACTAGTAATAGTAATAATCATATATCTCTGTTCAGGTGGCTTGGAAAATCAAATCCTTACAGTATTCAATAACTCATTGAGGTCTATCATGTGAGTATATATATCCAATCGGAAAGCGGTTGGACATTTGCGGATGTTTTCTCATTAGTTACTTTTGAAAAAAAATATTTTGGAAATACTAAAGGTAAATTGAGCAATTCTATATTCAAGGCATACAAATTCTTTACTATGTCAGTTATTTGTTTTTTGTATTCCTCTAAGAAGAAGTGACACGAAAAAAAAAACAGCAAACTATATATTTTGTCTTGTATTATTAGTTGTTTTAATATTGTAGACTAATATGAGTAATGAACATTGTGAGGTAACAACAATATACATCTAAGCTAGCAATAATACCTAACACGGATTTACATGGCTTTCTTTGTCATTTTATTTTTTCTAACTTTTAGTCTGTATTCTCTATATTTTATTCCTTTTTCGACTATGTTTTTTCTATGCTACTATATATATGGAAGTTCTTCTTATACACATAACTATCCTCATGCATGACTAAATTTTCTCTTCTACTAATATATGTGATAAGAGAGTATCGAAGAACGCAGAAAAACTGTCTGAGAATGACGGCTTGAGTGTAATATACTTATACTTCGCAAGATTAAATATTCTTATCTAGAATGCAACAAAACATATTTTTTACTTTTGATAAGGTAAGCAGATATGTAGTTTGTTTCATCTCTAATCAAAAGTCTTTTCTCTTTTCTAAAATACAATCTAAAACTCATGTTGAAGTATAGAAGCAGAAATTTCAACTCTCCACATACTGTTATAGATATAACCAAGAAATTCAAGTCAACTAGGAATGATGTATATATTGAACTTGATTACGTTCTTTATATAAACCTGTTTTTATTAAAGATCAAGAATATAATATTTAAAATAACATAATCCACATTATAGAGAGATAACAGTAATAGAAATGATTGGATAAAATCATTTTTCTATCTAAAAATACAGACATTTATGCTGCGTTTTACAATTTACTATCACAGTAGATTCGAATAAACGCTGTTTTCTATACTACATCTATTTGATATCTATTGAATGCTTATAACAAAAACACTTTAAGCACTTTACTTTAGTATAACGTATGACTTATGATGAATTGCCTCAATGAATAAGATACTTCTTTCAGCACCATTGATCATTATCACAAATAAGTAACTTTGAAGATTTCTCTTTCATTTTGTTATTTCTGTTTAAGATCTGCTCATCATCTTACTGCTTTTATTCCTACTAAACTCTCTTCACTAACGATTCAGCAACCAATCCGAACCGTTAAATCGATGACATAGATCTAAATACACTCAAAGCAGTTAAATTAATAGCACAGTCAAAATCATGAATATATCTTCGTAGAGACTAGCTGATTGTTGAAAGACGTATATTCCTTGTTGGAACAAATTCTAATCAGTCTTAACTATTCTGAAATCATGTACTCAAGACCTTCTGTAATTAATATTCAGTAGAAACCGAGCAGATACAATATAGGTTAAAAGAGAGAGGGAAAAAGATTTTTTGTAGAGGCTCAAGTGAATAGTTAAATCTATTGATAGGCAGTGAGGTAGATAGTACTGCAGTTAGTGAATTAGACTAGTTAGGTAAATATGGTATGCGTATGAGTGTAAGAGAATCTATGGTTGTGAATATGAACGTTTGTCACTTTTTCATCCACTTACACCCTTGACAGGACCTCTAGAAAATTATATTTTTAAGTCCAATCTTGTTAAAAACTTCATCATATTCGATATTCATGACATAAAAACTATTCTTCATTATGCTAGAAAACATATTTTATTTGGAACAATTTGTGATAGTTTTACTGAATTGATATCTATCAACATCAATCAAATAAATGAAACTGATGAAATAGAATGTCAATATTGACCATGTAATCATATATATACTCGTGGTAATGGTTTTTGGAATTGTTTTAATGGAGCTGATGAAATCGATTGTAATTCATCATCATATATGTATTTCACCTGTAACAAATCAATTAATGTGTTTATCTCTTGAAAAAACCTAATGACGGAAAAATTGATTGCCTTGGTACTACAAATGAACCTAAAACTATGTCGTATCGATGGTTATTTACCAATATCTCATAATTTTTATTGTAAAAATCCTAGTGATTAATCTTGTATTTCTTTACATTAATGTTTGTGATCACTTTGAACAATGTATGTAGATAAAATTTCTCAACATTCAACTATTATTCGAACAACTAATAATCAACACTATTGTCATCGTGAACTTCCTTTACGTATTTGGTTAGATAGACAAAAAAAATTTGACTACTATTACTTGTCTTTGTCTATCAAGTTTTTATGGTGATAAATGTCAATATCAAAATCAACGAGTTGCACTTACTATAGAATTTCAAGTATTTTTTCATTTAAAACGAATATCATTTGCTATTGTTATTACACTTATAGATGATAGTGATCGACAAATAATTCATTCATATCAACAACTTACTTATTTATCAATGCAACATTATCAAATAAAATTTAATATATATTTATTTAATTTATTCTACACGACCTAAAAAAAAATGAAAGTCGACATTATTTTTTTCATATTATGATTTCTATAATAAAATTTCATTAAATTATCAAGGAAGTATATTATTATCAATTAAGTTTACTTTTCTACCTGTATATCATATTGCTACTCAACTTAATATACTCTATAAGAACAGTATAAATTAATACTTGTTCAGATCATCGTTCTATTCATGATAAATGTATAAAATATATCAAAGATTCGAAAGGTCATAGCTTTTGTCAATGCAATCAAGGATGGTCGGTCTGGTCGATATTGTACAATTCTATATATGTGTAAGTGTGCATCAGATTCGTTATCTATTGGTAAATAATCGATCAATTTGTATATGTCCTATTGATAAATGAAGTTCTCAATGTTTACTTTCTAATGAAATATGTCAAACAAATCAAAAATACAACATTAGATCATAGTGATAGTCAATGTATACCTCTTGATCCATATATTATATCGAATAAAAAATTTGAATGTATTTGTTCGCAAGATTATTATGGTGATAGATGTGAAATAATTGATTATAAAATTATTCTATCGTTTGAAAATAATACCATTTTACCATAATCAATGTTTATACATTTTATTGAAGTAATAAATATTACTACACCTGAAATTGAAGCTTCAATATCATCTTCTTCATCGTATTAAATATTATCATTTACTATATCAAATATATTCATCAAACTTATTTTGTTTCTATGATGAAATTCATATTTATTTATATATGAATTATGGTAAAAAATGTCATGCAAATTGTTTTGAATTTAATCATATATTAGTACGAAATTGTTCTGGTCAAAGTAATTGTGAACATGAAGTACAATGTTTACAAGATAGTAGAACATGTCCAAAAACATCTGTATGCAGTTGTCTATCATGTTCTCATGAAATTCAATGTCAATTTAATTCAGAAAGATTTGATCTTTCATTCGATGCTATTTTAGGTTATCATATTGAACCCCATATTAGTATTTTGAAATAATTACCAATCGTACAAACAAGTTTAACAATGACTACAATTATAATTCTAGTAGGTCTTGTAAATGGTATTCTATCAGTGATAACATATTAGTAAAAAAAGTTATATTTATATTGAAAATTTCGATATTTATTATTGTTCAAATAATATATATTACAAATCGATTATTTCTTTATTTTCAATGTAGATCATATGATCTTCTATTACGAATTGGTCTTAATATGGATCAATGGTTAAGTGCATGCGTAGCTATTGAAAGAACAATTAATGTATTGAAAGGAATTGATTTTAATCAAAAAAAAGCCAACAATTAGCTAAATATATCATTTTAATACTTCTATTATTAATAATTAGTATAACTATGCATGATCCTTTTCATCGACATTTAATTGATGATGATGATGAGAATCGCATTTGGTGTATTATTAGTTATTCGCATAGTTTTCAAATCTATAATTTAATTATTAATATATTTCATTTCTTTGTTCCATTTCTCATTAATTTGATTTCGGCTATTATTATCAGTATAACAACTGTTCGACAACGAAAAATTATTCAAAATCATCAAAGTTATAAAAAAAAAATTTTGTACGAAAAATTTAAACAACATAAACATTTACTTTTGACTTCAATAACATTAGTTATTCTTGCAATATTACGTTTAATTATATCGTTAGTTTCAGGTTGTATGAAATCATCTTGTGATTCATGGTTATTTCTTGCTGGATATTTTATCTCGTTTATTCAATATCGACAAATAATACGAACACGTTTACGTCTTGCGTCATAAAAAAAAAGTTCGTTAAAAAGAAAAAAAGAAAAAGGATTTTTCTCTATTCGATTAATGTGGTCTTATATAAATATACTTTTGTATCTTATTTGTTATAAACAATAATCATTATTAGTTACATCGAAATATTGATTTGATAATACAAGAATAAAAGAGATCAATACATAAAATCTCAATAACATAATAGAACATACTAACGATATGTGCAATATCGGTGTATATGCTGACATTTGTGATTGAAAATTGGATAGTTGCCTCAAAGATAAGAGATTCCTTTATTCAAATTCGAAACTTGGTGGCTAGCACATCCTATACATTTCTTCAGCGACTAGAGTCTACTGAGTTCAAGGTTTTTTTTTTGAACCTAGATCCAACCAACTCGATAGACCCTTCCGTATAGTTAGTGTACATTTGAATTTCAATTTATCAAATTTTAACTATCAAAAGCGTTTGAAGTACATTATATTGAAAAGACACCTTTCGAAAAATTTACTAGAACTTGAAATTTATCTATCGCCTTTTTTAAATGGTAAAAGCACCTATTTCTTTCAATGTTCTTATATAAATTATAATCAATGTAGAGTGAAATCTTACATTGACTTAATCAAACTAAATACTTCAGTTTTTCGTCACTTAGAATTTATGACATATATGACAGTTAAAAAAGAGTAATAAAATGATTACATTATTTATTGACAGACTCATAATATAATAATGATACTCCCACCAGAAAAAAAAAAGTTAGAATTTTTTTTTTTGTCTTTGGTCTTATTAAATATTACAATCAATTATGTTGTATCAAAGTGATAATATAGATTAAAAAAACAACAGAATCGATAAAAGTTGATATTTTGTTAATGGTCTATATCTAGTTTTATATCAATGATTTTATTGTATATTTGTCACGTAACACATTGATTATATATAACATTACCTTGAATTCAATATAATTTATTCGTTTGCCTTTCTCATGTAAATATCATTTCGTTCTTTTTTTTTTCTTTTTATTGTATTATTTTTATTTGAGATATGATCATTTCTGAATCAGTACATGATTATTTCAGATGATAGAAAATGTATGTACTTTTAATCACTTTATTTGTAACAAGTATTCAAGCTCAAAATCAATGTGCATGTTCATGTTGTCTTGGTCAAAATTGTCAACCTACAATTGTTGGTACTGTTAATGTACAAAATTGTTCAACAGACATATGTATATCACAATGTCGTTGTACATATCCACAATGTGCAGCAAATTATCCATATGGTCAATTACTTGTACAATGTTCATCACCTGTTTATAATTTATTTAATTGTGAATGTAAATGTTGTAATACAGGTATATATACATGTATACCAATATTTGTTGGTTTTACTACTTCATATTTATGTGAAGTAAGTTCATGTAGTATAGCATGTAGTCATCAATATTCATCACAATGTGTATCAAATCAAAATGGACAAACTCAAGGTTTTTGTATAGGTCCATTGACAACAACAACAACAACTACACCTATGAGTCCTTGGTTAGGTAATATATGTACATGTTCACATTGTCAATCAGGTTATATTTGTTCATCAAATCTATTAGTTGGTATAACTTCAGCATCACAATGTTCAACACCGGCTTGTACACAAGCATGTCAAAATCGATATTTATCAACTTGTACACCAACATATTTAAATCAAATTAGTGGTGTATGTTTAAATGAAATGAATGGAAGAACAAAATGTAAATGTAATTGTTGTGGTGGATATGGTTGTATAGATTATGAACTTAATACAAATGAAACTTGTACATCATGTTATGCAAAATGTCTACAAGTATCACCTTGTACAAATACACTTCCAGTAACATATACATGTACTTTAAATAAATCTATGATATTGATGAATTATTCTCTTTCAATTATTATTTTGACATTATTAATTGTTGTGATTTTTAAAAATTAATTATGAAAAAATAAATAAATAAAATGAGTCATTTTATGATGGTGAAATATATTTGCTGTCATTTTTAAGAATTATACTTTTTTTCTTTTTCAAATATATATATTCAATTAAAGAATTTAGCATTAACATATGATAATGTACATACTATTAGATAGAAAATGTCTCATTTTATTATCCTACACATATAGGAATTTGCGGTCAAAATCTTCCCAGATCGAACCGAACAACCTGTAGAAAAAGTCACAAAGGACTTGAAAGTGATGAAAAATGACATTTGCACACGATCATTTTAAAAATATCATCTAAACATTATTAAATAAATCTTAATGATTTTATCTACTATTTCTAGTTGAATTAATTTCAAAAAAAACCATTATAGTGAGTTACTTGAGTGTGAAATGTTAATCTTCTCATTACTTACTCACACCATAACTTTATGATTAATTTTAATCACTTGCTATCTTTCAAATATATCAATAATTTTCTAGTTATTGATTTAATTTGTTTAAACTCTTATAATCAACATAAAAATCTTTTAATCATTATAATATCATATAAAATTTTCTAATAGATCATTATTTCTTTTTTGTTTTTGGTACATATTCATTAATTTTAAGAAATTTATTTCAAACATGAGAAAAAAATAATAATTTAAATACATATACACATAAAGAGAAATAGAAAAATACAACATCGATTTAGTCTTTCATTCATACCATTTGATTTAATTCTGGTTGCCACCATTACCACTAAACTTCTATTAAATAACTTTAAATATAAAATAATTTGATTTTTTTTTTTTTAGATTTGAAACTAAACAATAATTATTCGAAGATCATAATTATACTTCTTCTACATGTGTTCCAGGAAATAAACCGATTCTTCCTTCTAAATCTCCTTTACACCATTGATCTCGTCGACGTTCATGTAATACAATAATATCTCCTTTAAAAACAAAACAAAAAAAAGGAAATAAATAAAGAAAATAATAATAATTATTTAAACCTTTTTTAAGTGTTAATTCATCACTATGTCGTGCATTATAAGGATATATTACTTTAACACATTTTACTGGTTTTGGTTGATAAGGTTCTGTTGATTGTGTCATAAGAACTGGATAAGCTGCTCTAGTTGTTGCCATTTGATTATCTGTATGAACAAAAAAAACAAGAGATTATTTTTATTTTAATATTTATATGAATTCATATACATATATTAAAAGCAATAAACATGCATATAAAAAAAAACATAAATTAATCATATTTCTATTTTTTAACTTACATTGAAAATATGGATCTGATTGTGTAAATTGAAAAGAAAAAAAAAAATAAGCATGTGTTATATTAGATTAGTAAATAAATTTAAAAAAAAAACAAAATAAGTAAATATACATTGAATTTTGTTTTTGTTAAATATCCCTTTTTTTTTTATTTTATTTTTGAGCAACTACCTTATTGATATATATATTCTGATAAAATATAAAACAAGAAGAAGAAGAAGAAAGAGAATATAAATGATTTATTTAAAGCAAATATTTATTATTAATTAATAGAATGTAAATTATTTCAAAAAAATTATTAAAATAACTTACAAGGTATTCTATTAGATTGCAAAACATATTGTCGAGGGACTTTATTCTTTACTATAATGGACAGTTAGTTAAAATAAATTGTTAGGATTTGTTTAATTTTTTTTTTGAAAAACAAAGGATTTGCAAGGACTCGCAGACTGTAAGTAGGTACTAGTATAGATGTATCTCTTCATTTATATTCGTACTCCTTTCAATTTATTATAAAACCAACATAGAAACATCTAAAGAGATTCTTTATTAGTTCCATTGTTAGATAGAATTTTCATGAATAAAAATCGAATGAATTTCTTT